CAGCTGAGGAAGTTAACCAGTAAACAGAAACACCTGCTCCAGTTGCAGAAATCTTACAGAAACTGACAATCACTCATCTGCAGTGACTGATTTAAAAGTTGAACTAGAAAATGTGAAGTTAAAGGAAACTTTGTCCCAAAGCCAGTTTAAGTATCATTATTATTTTGGTTACTTTATTTTTCTTTCTTTATGAATCGATTTTAACTATTTCACATTAATGAACAACCAAAACAGACAAACATTTAGCCCTCCCCACTACCCATTTATGTTGCTCTTATTTTGAAACAGGAAGTTCTGTGTTAAGAGAGGCAGAAACAGAAGTTATGGAGACACCGCTAATGTCGAACCGGTTAACACCATAGACATAATATGCCTGTGGTTAACACAAACGGCTTTCTTTTTTTTTGTTCAGCCTTTTTTTTCCCAATCAGATGTGGCCCTCCAGACACACCCATTTTTCTATCGTCTTATCAGATGTGGCCCCCCAGATACGCCTTCCGAATTTGTCTGCAGAGATACCTACCTGCAGCGGACTGCCGACTGCTTCTCGGTTGGGCTCTTAAAGTTGTTTTAAAAAGAGAAAAATGAAGCTGAGGAAACCAAAATAAAAAAAAAACATTTTACCTCATGATTCTGTTCAAGGCTGAAAGTGAAACATTAAATTTGGCACAACTGATATAAAACCGGGCAGCACGGTTGTGCAACTGGTAGAGCTACTGCCTCTCAGCGAACAGGTCCCTGGTTCAAACCCCGGTCCAGGTGCCTTCTGGGTGGAGTTTGCATGTTCTCTCTGTGCATGCGTGGGTTTTCTCCGGGTGCTCCGGTTTCCTCCCACAGACCAAAAACATGCATGTTAGGCTGATTGGTAACTCTAAATTGTCCCTAGGTGTGAGTGAGAGAGTGAATGGTTGTTTGTCTCGTTTGTCTCTATGTGGCCCTGTGATGGACTTGCGACCCGTCCAGGGTGTACCCCACCCCTTGCACAGTGATTGCTGGACTTTGGCACCGGCGACCCCCGTGACCCAAAATGGAAGAAGTGGGTAAAGATAATGGATGGATGATATAAAACCCAGAATCTCTCAAGCTGCAGCGCTGGGAACTGTTTGTCTTTGGTGCTGCATCCTCAACATGGCTCTTCTGCATCACGTCAGCTCAAATATAACACCCTATGATATACAACATAAAAACAAGCCACTTAAATTTTTAAACTCCTTGAATGTTTCCTTGCATCAATAAAATTGATCTACTAGCAGAAAAAATGTTTAGATTGAACAATTGGTTTAAAATAATTTCATTGGATACTAAATGGAAACTATAAAATATGTTTGAAAAGGTTTACCCAATGAGTTATCACCCTCTACCATAAATTGCCTGTCTGTGGATGTTTGTCTGTTAGCAAAATATCTCATGAACCTCTGGGCAGATTTGAATGCAATTCTCAGAAATAAGTCATTGAATGTAGCTCTACAACTGTTTAACTTGTGGTGTGAACACAATTCAAGATCGACCCTAAAAAATGGCTTTAACTCTGTGAATCTTGCAGGTATTGAGCTGAAATTTGGTGTGTCCGTAGCCAAGAGTTGTCCCTGACATGTACTTACATATGTCACTAACATATTGCATAAGATCAATGCTTAAAATGTTGACATTTAAGGTTGCCAATGATGTGCATTCCTTAAAGAAAATGTATCAGTAGCAAATGGATTCCAGCTAACCAGGGCCGGCCCAAACCTCCATGGGGCCCTAAGCAATATTTGGTTTGGGGCCCTCTATTTCTGCTAATAATGTGGATTACTGCAATCAACAGTCAGATCAACAGATCAGATAATTCACCAACCTAACATAAACTCATTGCAACTCTGACAGCCCTGTTTACATGATCCTATATGTATATATCATGTAGTGCAGGGCTGTCAAACTCATCTTCATTTTGGGCCCCATCAAGCTCATGAATGTCCTCAAAAGGCCAGACATGGCAGAATGTATTGATAAAACTTCCTCTTGGCAAGCTGGTAAAATATAACTTTCTCTGCATTCAATGACTACTTCTAAAAAATTAAATACTTTGTTTGAATAATTTGACAGTATAAACATAAAAATTGATTTGATTTGACTGATAAAGTAATATTGATGCACACAACTGTTATCTTGAAGTTCTGTCTCTGTGGCCCTCTAGGGTGTAGAGAGCCATAGAAACTGTTATGGCGGGCCAGATTTGGTCCATGGGCCTTGAGTTTGACACATGCGATCTAGTGCTACTAAAAGTAACAACAACAACAAAAAACACCAATATGCAATGTATTTTACAGCAAAAGTGTTATCTAGTTTATTATCTTTGGTTGCAAAGAATGCAGCAGTAATAATGAAAATAATTTGTAGTGCAATATCAAAACAATTCACAACTTTATAATGAAATTGTGTGTAATAGAATCATTATTAGAAATAGAATCATTATTAAAAAAAATAATAATAATAAATTCCACTTAGGGGGCCCCCTAGTGGCCCCGGGACCCTAAGCAACTGTTTAGTTTGCTTATGCCTTGGGCCGGCCCTGCAGCTAACCCAAATTAAATGTCCTTAAAAAGAAAGTAAAACAGAAACATAAAGACAGATAAACAACCCCCCCCCCCCCACA